CTGATTTATATGTATGGAATTTCTGTCAGTTTTATAATGAATGAAATATTAAGAGAAGAGTTAGTTGTGTAAATTAAAAAAAGAAACTAAAAAGTCTCTTTATTCGTACTGTATTTTTTTAGAGAGGGAAAATTCAATGATTCTGAGGAAATGACCTAGTTGATCCTGAACTCTTTTTACCTCATTTGTAATCTGCCATAGGCTTTGATATTGTCAAACAATGTTAATATTGTGTTACTACGTTATCAAAAAAGACAAAAAAAGAGATCAGTTTATCAACTACCAAAATTGTTGACTGACATTAAATAATTGATTTCAACAGTTGAGATCATGGGTCAATTGAAGCTAGACAACCATGGAAAGCCTAGAAGCATTGGATAGAGCACTAGGGACGAAACGGCCGTCCAGTGCTTCCAGGTCTTCCATTACATCAATATTTCTCAAGTTTTTCTTTCAGTTCTATCTTACAATTCAACTGAAAGTCATTCTCTTAAGTTTTATAACCTCATTTTAAAAATTTCTAATAACACATGTAAAGAAAATTGTTGCTTACCAAACTTTCATATCCCCCCTTTTAAATTCACTTGGTGTTGTTTTACTCGTATCTTTCCAATGTTATTTAGGACTGCAACTGATCAATCTCTTATTGGCATATGTGCATCACGTGCAGATTGCCTCAATATAATCTTAATTCACAAGCTTTTTAAGCAAGGATGGAAAGTGACTAGCAGTGGAATTCAAGAATCCAGCTGATGAGTCCCAATCAGGACGAAACACGCGTCCTGAATTCCACTGCTAACCACTATCCATCTTCCCTCCCTCCCTATTGTTTGTATTTCACTAGTAGATAAATAAGTTTTCCAAAATTATTCATATTATATTCACAGAACTGTTAATCTAAATTAACATTATAATTAATGTATATGAATAGGTAAATCTGTATGTATGTAAGTAGATAATGTAATAAGTAGTTGAAGTGTAAACATAAATTCTAATTAAGATTCTAAATAGAATAGAATAGACTATATTCGTTTAACCTTTATTAGTTTTTAGTTACTATCCTGTTTATTGTTACTTTTTTCTTTGGTTATTTTTCTTTTTCTTTTTTTCTAGAAAATTTATTTACTTTCATTTTATTCACTTCTTATTTAATTTGTAAGTATAAATTACGGATATACTTTATTATTAATGAATCAGTTGATGTCTAGTATGAAGTAACTAAACAATTCAAAGTATATACCTATTCTAATTGAATAAATATACTTGATATATATTTAGTTTAAAGGTTATCATAGATACATATATTGTAAATACCATTTTGATGTTAAATACAATGATTACTTTCTATGAATGAAAGTTAAACAACTATTGTAATGAATGAGAACATATAAGTAAGGACAATAGAATAGACAATAGAATCTTTTAGTAAAATCTAAGAACTATACAGTAAATACTTCGTGTACAAAATGTCAATTAATTGTCTCAGACTTGATTGTTCCTTCATTTTCACACCAATCATTTTGTGTTCTCATTCTGTTTTCTTCAATTTTCTTCACTTTTTGTTGCCAAACATTTCACTTTTGATTGGTGATACATATTACTTATATCTGTCGACATCGGTAGGATATACCACATTATCAGTTTGAATTCTGTGCAATGTAATGAATACTAGGAACATAACTAGTGAATTTCAAACCTGGCACAATGAATAATAGTGTAAATATTCTGTGTTGGAAAAAAAGAGAATAATTTATAGTGTGATTATGATTATGCTAAAATGATATATGTTCATAGATTAGATTATTTCAAAAAATCACTTAAGCATATGATTACGAATGACTTACTTCGAGAGGTAAGGCTAATGAAGTTCAACTGTGTTTAGTGTGAGACAAGTATTACTAATGAATGGTAGTAATGTAATATCACAAAATGACTAAATTTGAAAATGTAAACCACTGAATACAAGTTCAGTAGTCTAAAGTTTAAAACTTTAGTGCAAAACATGAAGTTCCTTGGATTGATTCCTAGTGGACCAGTGGACGTACATTGCTGGAGAGTCCTATTTTAAGAAGAAACATTCGTTCAATGTTTCCTAGTATTCAATGGTTGTCTAACTAGTGTCAGTCTGTGTTATAAACTATAAAGTAATTTATAATTATTCCATATTAACTGAAGAACTCACGAAAAACACTACATATCTTTAGCTTAATCGATATCATATTCAGAAAACAAAAGGTAGAAATATTATGCCTCAGGGAAATCATACAATTTCAAAAGTAATAACTCTAAACTCAATACTGTCTTATTCCAAACTAGATTTATTTGACATAATTATAATTCCGCCTATCCAAAACAGCAGTACGTGAAAGTATACCATGAAAACGGACTTACGGATTGATATATTTTATCAAATATTAATTAACAAGTTGTAAATGATAAGAATATAGGGTGAACTGTACACTTTATTATCAATTATCAAGACTCAAGTTTACATCCTGTTGCATATTCAAAACAAAAAAACGAATAACATTTCATCAATAGTAGATTGCAGTATTCATCTGACAGAAAAAGAGTTTACATGTCACTGACCTTGAAGTTGAATCTGATGTTCCACTATTACTGTCAAATTATTCAAGATGATTTATTTTGAATCTAATAAAATAGATAAATGACAAGGATACTTCTTATGTTATCACTGAAAAATCATTAGAATAATTTCAATTATCAAATAATCATTCCTAATTTCCTGTTTCATTAACTAATTGATAGAATCAAATGAATACTTTAATGAAAAGGATCTATTTATCTGTTATGTTATTTTCTACTTATCATAAGTACCATATTTTTTGACAATAAAATATCAGTAAATTACAATGACATGCAATCTTAACAGATATCCGGAAATCTGTATATTAGATAAACAGAGGAAATGGTGGAGAAGATTTGTAGCTAAAGTAGATTATTTTGACGGAGTTTTGTTCTTTAAGTTGATTTGGTAGAGGCTAATTTTCCCTATATCTGACTACAATAAATAATATCCCGCTAACTGAGTATTTAATGCAGGCTAAACCTCCTAGTAGAATTATGGATTTACTCGAGATTATTCAAAAGTCTGAAATTCAGTTATAGAGATAGTTTATTGTTAAAGATTGGTAAAGTCCGCAAGCGTACAGGAAGCAAACACACAGGGAAACCAAGAGTGTGTATGCCTGAGTGTTAAAAATCCATATATATATATATATGTAATACAACCAAAGGTAGGATAGATTAAAAATTGATATGTGCTCAATCATACACAGAAAATTATATTGTGAACTAAGTGTTTAAATTACAGTGAGCAGATAAATAATTCATTAGTTGAATGGGCTTACTATACTTTCATCGTTCTTTTGCCTGAAGTTTGTGCTGATGATGTCGATTACAAGAACGATGAAAGCTCCACGACTAAACCATCCAGCTCAGAGAACAAAACTTTATCATAAACAGAGGAAATATTTATTATCTACAATAATAGGAATAATTCAAATTGTCAGTAACTTAATTTTTGAATACGTCCTTATTTATCTGGCAATGGATAGGGTGTTCATATTTCATCACCATCCAGTGATCAACCAATTGTGATTGCATCTCAATCCTACAGGAGGTCGGTCACGGCACGGATATCCTAGTGATAAGGTGTCTGGCTGTGAAGCTGGATGACACGGGATCGAATCCGTCAGGAAGCACCAGTTCCCTCAAGATTACAGGTACACCTTACTGACGAGTGCCAAGTAGCACGAAACCTGGATCCAGGGTTTCCTGTTGACTACCTTCAACAACCATCTAATCTCAGCATAGTGCAATCAATGTTGAGTCACCTAGACTAGTGGCCACATTGCAACATGATCGATAGCATTCGATCTGCACTAAGAAGGACTAGACAAGCATGACATTGATCATCACCCAGTGATCAATCAATTGTGATTCATATTTACTTATCTTTAAAAAAAAGAAAATAACTAAATTGGTAATTATAGAATGCTAAACTTGGATAATGTAACTGCTATCCAAAATCTGGGATTAAACATATATGTCGATCAATCTTATGCTCCAAAGTTAATTTTAAACTTAATTAATTGATGTTATAATATTATGTCTGTTTTTTTAAATGTATTATGAATGTTTTATTTTTATGATTACTGTTTCTATACATTTCGTTATAGTTGTATTAGGCATTGTTGTAGGGTAGATAGCTAAGTAACTGATAACATATTTGTTATGTACACAAGCAGATGGATATCAAGACTCAGTAGCTAACTGGGTAACGCGATGGTGTTTGAAGCGAATGGTATTGGACTTGACTCCCAGAGTAAATATTATTATTATTATTAGCTTTATTCCATATTGTATTTTTGGTACAATATAGAATTCTCAGCACAAAGTATTTCAACAAGTTTCCGTTTCTTTCTTCTTCGTCGGTCCTGGCGATAAATATTGAGTGATCGCCAGTTAGATGTTAGCAGTTCAGTAAATGAACATCTGAATAATGTACATCCTTTTCGTTGTATATTGCCAGCAACCACATAGTCTCTTATTGAGTTTTTTGTAACTTTGACAACGAAAGGTTGTACAATTTTCAGAAACGCAGCAGAATAGGTTATGCGATCATTAAACATAGTGATATATTAAAACAAACAAAAATAGATAACTTGTTGAAATATCTAGATGGCAGGAAGAGGTAGCTCAGATGCTCAAGCAGGCCGCCTTGAAAGTAGATCCAAGTCTGATTCATAATGTATACTACAGTATGTTTTTATTGTCGATTAGCTTTAAAAAGTAAGGATCAATTTTACGTTTCAAAGCATTCTGAATAAAAAATTTAATTCTCTATTTAATGACATTCATTGCCTCTTTTAAGTGATGAATTATGCATATGTGTCATTGTCAAGCATAAACAACATAGAATCTAAAATGTAATAAAACTTTAGAATATGAATAGCTAATAAATTATATTGTCGAACTTATTCATTTTCTAAATGATAACAGGGAGTCAACAATTCATTCGAATTATTATTATTATTATCATCAGTAGTAGTAGTAGTAGTAGTAGTAGTAGTAGTTGTAGTAGTAGTAGTAGTAGTTGTAGTAGTAGTAGTAGTAGTAATAGTAGTAGTAGTATTAGCAGTAGTATAAAGATAAGTCAATTGTGAATCTATTAAATAAAATCAAATGCATGCCGGAAGCTATACATAATTGAACCAACTAAGAGAAACAAAACAACTAACTATCTAGTTAAATTCATACAAATGTAACATTTGAGTTCTGTTTTGCATAGTAATTAAAAGTTACGCTAAATCGATGAATAGATTTTTATTGATTAACTTAATGAAATAAACAATTCAACTCATGATGTAGAATGTACAATAAACAATCTCTATAAACTCACTGTACTAATACGAAAAAGAAAAACATGAACTTTTAATTAAACTTAAATGAAGTTTTGTTCTTACCCCAATTTCTTTTCTATTACCGAAATGAGGTTAAAAAATAATCAAGAATAAATTATTAGTATGGGGTTGCGTAGATTATTAAGTTTCTGATTAAGATCATTAATCGATCGATGTTAGACCACCATTGAAAACTTGGAAGCATTGAACGGCCGTCTCTTCCTAGTATGGGACTTCTCGACAGTTAGACATTAACACTATTGAATGCCGGTAGGATCAGTGGTCTAGAGGTTAAGCGTTCACATGCGAGAATGAAGGTCCTGAGTTTGAAATCCGCGAGCGGGAATGTGGATGCGCACTGCAGAGGAGTCCCATACTAGAACGAAATGTCCATCTAGCCCTTCTTGGTTTTCTAGCATCAATCGTTTCATGATCTTATTCAAAAAAATTATTTGTTTGTTTATCTATTTTAAAAGTTATCCTCTTTTTATAGTATTCTCTTGAGAGAGAAGTTAATTCAAATCATTGCAAGTCCACTAAGTATATTAAAAACAAAAAAAACACAACAGAATCTAACTTGTTTGTCATGTAGCTATTTTCTTAATTTTGTTAATTACATACAGAATTAACTTGATATAATAAATACAAGATGAACAAGGAATAATTAAGAAATAAAATAGAAATGATATGTACAAAAGATATTTAAGAATTAAGTAAATTCACTCACTTGAATGAATGAAAAACAAATGCCTAGTACATAATTTCCATAAGGAATTACTCAATAATACTCCCTTCTTTTTTATAACTTTTTCTATGTTCTTCTCTTACCAGCCCCCCCCCCCACACACACACATTCTTACACTTTTTGAGTAATACTATGACTCATAAATTTACATCTTTGTAAGTGAGACAAAATGAATGAAATTGGACAACATAATTTTATTTCCTCTTCTTTTGGTATACATTCTTTTGTTTTGGTCAATGGTTTGAATTACTTTTTCTGGTTAGCGTTTTTTTTAGCAAGTTAGTTTTCTACAGGATGGGGTGGCTAACCCCATGCTCAACGATCCTCATTTATCCGGGCTTGGGACCGGCAGTAGCTCTAGGTGGAGTTTATTTTGGTAAATAGTAAATGATAATTTAAGACTTACAATTGATGTATCACTGAGTGGTGATCAATATCATATATGTCAGGTCCTTCTTAGTACAGATAGAATCCTACAATCCGTCGGGGAGCATTAGTTCTCTCAAGGTTACAGGTACAACTTGTTGACGAATACCAAGTAGTATGAAACCTAGGTTCAGGGTTTCCTGTTAACTATCTCCAAGCACATTATGAGCCGATCGAAAATCAACAAACATTAAAAACTGGGGATAATTGATCAGCTATTTCCTCCTAGTTAGTCTTCAAAAAGATATCGTTATTTAATAGCTATCAGCTATATTTCAAAACATTATTGATAAAACTATCTTGTGAAAACAGTATATTAATTCTAATACCTGCTATGTAAAGCCAACATAAATAGAAGATAACTTGTCAACTTAACCTAGCGTTGTATAACTACCGTACAAGCTATTCTACGGAATGTAGAACTTCTAAAAAAAATGCGTTGTAACGTTTTTGGAAATTTCATATCTTGCTTAGATAGAGGGATAGTTAAGTGTATTTAGCATTAATTGATTTATTTGGTGAATGTCAAGCATTACATCGATAGGAGATTTGCCTTCACAGATATGTACTCTGATACGGGTACATCCAGCTGACACTTCTCAAATAGGATGAAACACAGGTCCTGGATTTTTTTGCTAACTACGACCCATCTATTCCGCAAGCCTGTGACAAGATGGTTCTACTGAGGTATTTCTCATGGGATACACTTATGTCAAAATAAAGGCTGGTCAAAATTCAGTAAAGATTATCAGTCACTTACTAACAATATAATTATTTAAAAAGCTTAAGAAAACCTTGAAATACTATATCCGCTTATTTAGTCCTTCTCTTTTGAATGATTTTTATCAGAAAAACTAATGACTTTCTTTTCCGACCACTTCAAGTAAGTGTAAATATGATCTCCACCCGTAATTCTGTTCTTACTACTACTGCTACTACTACTACTACTACTACTACTACTACTACTACTACTACTACTACTACTACTACCACTACTACTACTACTACGACTACTACAACATCAACTACTACTACTACAACTACTTCCAGCTTATTTTGTCATTGTGTCGCTTAGTCTTCGTTTCGTTTGCCGATTTTTATGTGATGTCGTAATCTCTTCAAACATAACAGTTAATTACCTTCATTTAATATGTAATCATGAACTTTATACATGGAAACTATGAAATACATATTATACTATTTTTCCTTTATTTACATGATTCTAAACAATATCTTATAGTTAATGTGTTCCAGTTTTAGATAAAACAGATTACTAATAACCCCTAATTTTTACATTGTCAGATTTGTAATAACCAGTGTAGCAACAGCCTCAGAACCAGTAGTTCTCAATATACACAAAGGGAAAAGCAAGATTCTCCGATACAACACAGCATGCACCAATCCAATCACAATTGACGGAGAAGATTTGGAAGATGTAAAAACCTTTACATATTTGGGCAGCATCATCGATGGCAACGGTGGATCTGATGCAGATGTGAAAGCGCGGATCGGTAAAGCAAGAGCAGTGTATTTAAAACTGAAGAACATCTGGGATACAAAACAACTATCAACCAACACTAAAATCAGGATTTTCAATGCAAATGTCAAGACAGTTCTACTGTATGGGGCGGATACCTGGAGAACAACGAAAGCCATCATCCAGAAGATACAGGTGTTTATTAACAATTGTCTACGCAAAATACTTGGGATCCGTTGACCGGACACTATTAGCAACAACCAACTGTAGGAAACAACAAACCAAATCAGGAAGAAGCGCTGGAAGTGAATAGAACACACATTGAGAAAAGCACCGAACTGCGTCACAAAGCAAGCTCTCACATGGAATCCTGAAGGCAAAAGGAGAAGAGGAAGATCAAAGAACACATTACGTCGGGAGATCGAGATAGACATGAGAAAAATGAAGAAGAATTGGATGGAACTAGAAAAGAAGGCCCAGGACGGAGTGGGTTGGAGAATGCTGGTCGGCGGCCTATGCTCCATTGGGAGTAACAGGCGTAAGTAAGTAAAAGTAAAAGTAAGATTTGTAATAAAGATTATTTCTTCATTCTTCTCATATGTGCACCGGTGTTTCCTACAAAGATCTTTCTGACTTCTATATATCATATTTCAGCATATCTTCCAATGACACTATCTAGTAATCGTTAGAAGTAAATTATCACATTTCCTAAATAGTAATATCTTTTGATCTTGTTACATTTTTTTCTTAATTTGTTAAGGGACTATCACACAACAATAAAAAATGTGCATTATTCTCATTTACCATTGATCTTGATAAGAGAAAAGCTTGTTTGTTTTTTTCTTTTTTATGTTTATTTTTGCTATAATCATTTTCAAAAGATGTGAAGAATAGCAGTGAATTAGTTGTAAACATTAGATCAGATTATTTATCTTCACTGTCAAAAACATATCATGTTTATGAAACTTCAAGAAGACTTACTCTCTTCTTCTTTTTTGTTTCGTTTCTCTCAAAATAGAAATAAAGATTGTCATTTACAAATCTCATCATAAATTAGATTACTGTCTATAAATAAAAATTTTATCCATTAAAGAAAATTATGAAAATTCAGTATGATTCTTAATTTTTGTTGGGGTGATCCAGAAAATTTCTTGCAAACGACAAGCAAGGATCAGGAAACACTAAGAAGCATTTCATCCAATCAGCGTTCACTTGAAGTTTTAGCCAGAAATATCAAGGAAGTGAAACGTCACATGTGGTGGTTCTGATTGGCTGGTTGCTATACTGCTACTATGTTTAGTAGCATTCCAGAATCTTCGAGCAACCCAAGGACATTTAAAATATTATAAAAACCCTATATTTTCTGTATTGAAATGAACCTTGGAGTAGAGTACTTCTCGCATACTTTGCGTCTTCTCTCTCGTGTTCAGGTCGCTGTATAGTTCTAGCTTGGGGGGTTACAGAATAGCTTAGGAAACGAATATAGCGTTCAATTTGCAAGACTTATCAATTTTTGATTAGAAACAGTTCTTTTTTGTTGAATTTTATTTGGATACATAAATATTGATACAAGAGAGCACCAAATAGATATGTACCACATAAACCACTTGATTTGTGCATGGGGATTTGATACAGATCTAGTGGCTAGACAGAAGTAGGTGGCTTTCTTAGGGGACCATATCTAGAGCCTTCGACTTTAAAGTCTGATCCGAAGGTAGTGAAGCAACGTAAGGAGATGTATTCCCATGGTAACCTGTCAGTAACAATTGGTTTATATGGTATTTGTTCATTCAGGATACTGGAGTCCATGTACACCATTGGTTTGAAATCAGGGTTTTCTAACTCCCCTCCGTGTTCACCAACCCCGGTTAAAGCACCAGATATTCGCTTTACGTCCTCTTAATTTCGTAAACAACACACTACCACGAGAAGGCGATGAGTATGACTTCTCTGACAGAGGCTGTATACGCGTGGCCATGTGAGAGCATTTCGAAAGGGAGAGTGGACTCTCCCCACCCTCGGCTGTACCAGGGCACTTAAGAGCAAACAGAATTATTTGATGACCAAAAAGTTATTATTTGAGTTCTTTTCTCAGACACAAAAGTATTTTACACACTGAAGATGATATCAACATTTGATTTTATTTCAAGTGTATAATTAGAACTCCCTGATTAATTACTAGTGTACTATTGATTTGTAAGACCCACAAGGAAAAAGAATGGAAATCAAGATTAAATGACCAAATCGCATTTTGAATAAATGATACTACACATTAGAACCAAGAAAAAAGAAGCAAAATGCGAAGAATTTATTGTTTTATATTATTCTTGTTATTAATATTTAATGCGTTAACGGCTTCTATTTACTGATATTTTTGGTATCAAATGAAACTAACATATTTATCATGATATCATCAAGGCAATGTAAGTTCGCTGGTGGTTACTTTGGTATTTCTACATTGCTACAAGTTCATTAGTAACACAAAACCTGAGAAGTTCAGATTCTAGATGGTGATTTTGATTTTGAAAGAATGATTCACTGTTCATAAGAAAGTGACATGTTTGAAACTTAAGTTGGTCTGAGGTGTCCTATAAGCGAAATAACATGGCGAGCAATATATATATATAGTAAAAGGCATATGAAACGGGAATTTGTAACCCAAGTGGATAATTTTAATGATGTTGTGTTTAATGAGTTTGACAGTTTGATTGTTCAGAATTCATTACCGTTCTGGACAATTTCATCGGAGCATATTTCACGTCCAAAATGACAATAAAAGCTCCTCCTTTAAGTTATTAGCATATGCTATTAATGTAAATGTTCATATGTTTGACAAAAATTAGTTTCCATTAATCTGACACTCACAAACAATAATATTTTCAGTAAAATTGGCCAGAAATAGACAACTGTCCAACAAACTACACCAAACTCAATTATATATCTGAAACAAATAAGTAAATCTTCATCTTAAATAACCCTTGAATTTATTTGTCAACTTTTGAAGACTTCGATTAATAAATACTTAAATAATTTATAATATAATTCGTCAGTTCAATACTTAATTGATATAGTATTTAGAGCAAACATCTAGATTGATAATGAGCTGCAGATGACATCATCTCTGTCAAGAACACAGAACATACTGATACTGATCTATTTGACTTAAATACAAAAAAAACACAATTATAAATCCTTCTTCAGATGTTTGTTATTTGAAAGTGTATTACACAAGTAAGTTAATTTATACTTCAAATGTAAATAGTTACTATGATCCAAATGTATACCATATAAACTATCGATTTCTTTTTATTTTAATGTTCAAATATCATTAATCAGTCACCTTTTGTTCAAAACTGTAAATTAGAAGGACTATTCAAAGTAAAAATACCAAAACTATCTTGAACTGGTTAAACATTTATGTCAGAACTTGTAAGACTATCCATTTATTCAAAACAAAAAAGACCATTTGTTGAATCAAACACTTTTTTCCGACTGTTTCATTGCTTCATTATCCTGGTGATAATTATCCGTTTATTTTTGTTTGCCAAATTATGTATGTAATTTTGTTTTTAAAACAATGGGTATAATTATTTGATGGTATAAAATGTAATGAGTAACTACTGAATTATTGATTTATTCTTATACACATATATACAATGTCCTGTAGTTTCCTTCATCATATTCAATAATGAGAAAAGAAAATCAGCATGACAAATAATTGATTGATCACTGGGTGGTGATCAGTGTCATATATGTCAAATCATTCTTATTACAGATCGAATCCTATCGACCAAGTTGCAATATAGCCACTAGTCTAGGTAACTCGAAATTGCGTACACTATGTCATACATGATATCGATCAGCACTCAGTGATCAATCAATTGTAAATACATCTCAATCCTAAAGGCGGTCAGTCACGGCCCGTATAGCTTAATGATAACATCTCTGACTGTGAAGCTGTTTGACACGGGATCTAATCCGTCAAAGAGTATCAGTTCCTTCGAGATTACAAATACACCTTGATGATGAGTGCCAAGTAGCACGAAACCTAAGTCCAATGGTTTCCTGTTGACTACCTCCAACAATCATCTTATAACAAATAATCATCTACTGATTCATTTAAACTGATCTGTTTATCATTGGAAATATAAACAGTGAATCAATAATGTAAATAAATTAATGTAACCGTTAATATATTTCCATATATGTAAATATAACCCCAGTTACTTCAATTCACTGTACTTTGTCTTTGATCCACATTATTTATTTATTTATTTCGGTAATTAATGAGTTTTAGAATACTTAGATTCAGCTGATTGATTAGTTAAATCAATTATTATCCATTATATACAACCCCATTTAATGTTTGTCACCTTATTAATATGCATATATATATATAACTATTTATGTTTTCTAATTATAATCGCTTATGTTTGTTTTTTTTTTAAAAAAAAAGAAGGGTAACGTCGCTTAAGACTATTAATAATGATTGAAGAAAAAAGAAAAGAAAACAAAAATAATGACGATAATTTTGTGAGAAAAAGAAAAGATGGTGGTGGTGATGATGATGATGATGATGATGATGATGATGATGATGAAGATGGTGACGATGAATCATTGTGTTTATTTTTCTATTCACTTGAAAGGTTCTTTTTCATTTTTCCTCATTTGTGAACCACTTGAATGTTTGTGTTTA